GAAGGCATAAAAGTATGTCAGATAAATAAAATTAAAAAAAATAAAGTCGTAATGTGACATTTAATAATTATTTTATCGCATATGTAATATTGCAAAGAGTTCTATAATAATTGCACAATGATTTAATAACGGCAGCTTTCACGAAAATAACTGTTTTGCTTTTCGCAATTAGCAAAGGATATACTATTAATTAATCTCAAAAGTTAATTTGAGTTATTATTTGATTTATGCAAATATACATATTTCGCGACAAATAACAATCTATGCGAAATAAACACATTCTTGTTTTCGTAGCAGACTTTAGAACAAATTCTCTTAATTTCGAGTTTAAACATTTCGATCCAATATCTCCATAAATAAATATGTCAAATAGAGATTTAACATAATATACGAAATGCACATATCGTTTTCAAAGTTTCCAATAACTTCGAGGGAAAGAGAAAAAAAAGAAAAGATTCAAAGGTAAAAAAAAATTAGTTTGCTATAAACATACACGTCAAACGGGTTTATTCCCTTCGTTTGCCGGCCACCGAATTTGCCGCGAAATCGATTCGCAGAAATGCGACGTCTCGCGTGTACATATCGAAAGACAGATGTCGAACGAAACGTATGATATTTTTATCTGCAATTCCAGTTTTTCCTTGCGCAAGTATTTCCTTGCTTGTAGCAGAAGTTCGCGACTTGTCGATTATCTCGTCACACTTGGGGAGATCGTAAAAATAATTAATAGCCGACGTTGCAACAACTGATAATCACTTTGCCTAATAGCAATCTGTTATTCATGCGAGCGACAGGTTTCGTCGGCAAACGAGCCTGCGGGAAGGAACGGATTCATTATTCATTGAGAGCCGCGTGCGCAAAACTCGTACGTTCGATTAATACTCGAATCGAAAGTTGAGAATTTATTTGCTCGAGAATTAGCGTTTCTTACATTAGATGGACACGTTGCAGAAATATTTTCACGTACACAAATTAAGCGGTTCATTTTCAGGCGAACGTGAAACGAAGCATTTTTTAGAATTGAAAAAATTTTCATTCAAGATACAGAAGCGCTTGATTCGCAATCGAATACATCAGATAGATTTTATTTTAGACTAGCCTGTTTAAGAAACTGATAAAACATGACGCGACGGCACGTTTTTATTTCTGGTGAATCCGCAAACGTGATTAAGTTAGCGCTAATCCGCGACTATCCGGTCAGATTATTCTTTAATCTAATTTATCATTTTATGTAATTAATATGTATCAACTTTGTCACATGTAGTATTTTAGTAGTTTTAAAATTGTCCTATTTCACGTTTGCGTATAGAAGGCGTCAAATAATAAATTAATCCATTGAAATTCCACTTAATTTACTTCTTTCAAATTATTATCCGCGGTTTCTATTCATTACTTGTTTTTTATTTAATGTTATGGTACGTTTAACGCTATATAATGTGTCTTATAAATACGAATCGACGTCTTTAAAAGTCTCTGCGGTAAGAAGGCATTTTATTTTCTCAAACGATACTACGTGTTTCATGAATTATTAATAGCCGCCGATGATAGGTCATGTATCCTAATTTTTGATGCGCTGATGCGTACGGGCGAGGTTCCGTGCGCGTCGAAAAAAATCGCACCTCATTCTCCACGACGATATATTTGTCATGCATATTAATGACGGCTGACGGACAAGCGGCGACTAAATCGCCCGACAATCTAATTTTCGCGCGTTAGGACGAGGAGGAGAGAAATTTGTGGCGTTCACTTAAATCGTTTCTCATACGGTTTATAAATGGGTTTATAATATCTGTCAATAGATTCTTCGACGTATTTACCGATATTATTATCCTTTAACGAAAATACAAAAAAAAGTCTAATAACGTAATTATTTAATATCATCAATTGAAATATAAAGAGAAAATAAAATTTCTTGTCTTTTTAAAACTTAGAGCGGAGTTGATTTAAAAAAAAGTCGAAAATTTGAAATGCGAATAACAAATATTTAATACTGAAAATCAAAAGACTTTAAAATTTAAAATTATTTGATATATCGTTAAAGCCTGTTCGATTTCGTGTTTCCTGAGAGGCAGCTGTGTGCTAAAAGGTTAAGGACACCGCGATTGAATAAGTGCGCCTAATTCCTCGAAACGTTTTCGTAAACCAACACGCATAATTCCGCTCCGTTACGGCCGCGAGGGCAATTGACACCTATCGCGATTGAAAAGGGATGCAGCTTCGCGGAGCCGGTCATCTCACTGCAGTCGAGCGAGAAGAACGGCGCAAGGTCTCTCCGTATACAGGTTCAGGGATTCCTGAAAATTATTAACGGCACCGCGTGGAGTTACGGCAGGCGTGTCATTTCTCGGACGGAGCCAGTGGTTCTCATCGCGTGCGCACATCGCGCGCGAGTAATTCCCGGCCGTCAGTAAATCGGTGATTTGTGGTGGACGGTGACGGATTTGCAAGTATAATGAAAAGTGCCGGGTTAACGTTAAAGCGCCGTGCTCTCGCGACGCGGGGGAAAATAACGAGAAGATCGCATAGGGGCGCGCGAGTATGCGTGGCTCGGAGCCAGCAAGGGATGGAGAGTGAAAGGACGAAGCGAGAGGAAAATACGCGTGGGTTTAAAGGCGAAGGGGGGAGGAGGTTAGTAGGGGGGAGAGGAAGAAAAAAAAGTAAGTAAGTACCGGGAATAAATTAAACTAATTGAGCAAATTAGCCAGCTGTTCACGCAACGATGGCATACGGACACGCTCTCCTCTGTAAGAAGTCATCGTCGTCACGCAGAAAACGTGTATCCGTGCGCCCTTTTGAATAAACGAGTAATGCAAGTTATATCCATGAGAATTAAGAAAATTGGATGCTTAAATCAAAATCGATATTATTCATCATTAATAATGAATGTATAATAATATCGAAACTGTAGATTACATTTGAACATTTTATGTTAAATTAGTGCAGTATTTTTATGAAATACTAGAATCTAGTTCTGCACGAAAAGAACGATTTTGCTGTATTCAGATCTGAAAATAATTTTTGTTATACAATCAAAATAATTTTGTTGGAAAGTTAAACTGATTGCTAGAATATCAAAATAATTTTGTTGAAAAGTTAAAAATGCTTATCATTTTTGACTTTCCAATAAAATTATTTTAACGATTCAACAAAAATTATTTTCAAATCTATATGTAGCAAAATTTTTAGACCTTCCAGTAAAATCGTTCTTTCCGTGTGGATAATATTTCCTCTCTCTTTAAAATTGTAGAATAAGCTTGTGGTAATGCAATTTTAGCGTGCAATATTCCAGACATTATCTGACATAACAAGCTATTATTATATGTAATCAATTTATTAAGAGTTACTGCGATACATATGTATAAATTTTTCTAATTATTTTACAAAATTAAATCACATAAACAATTTAAATTTATAAAATGTTATAATATGAATTTATTTACATGTTACTTGCGTTCTGTAGGATATTTGTTGCAATATTTAATGTTTTTTTTTGCAACTTCTAAGTTTTTATAAGTTCATAATTATAAGTATGCAAAAAGAATTGAAACATTAAACTGTTTTAATCGTCCAGAACGATGATATTAATCATATACAGTACAATAATAAAAACGGATAAGAACCGAGTATTAATTTAATGTTTAGTATTTAAATATTTAAATTTATTCAGAATTGCGCGTGATTGTCGTTCGAACATATTAATGAACATTATTGAAGTTTAATGGCGGATGATGCGCGTTTCTTGCGTTGATCGTGAATGTCTTTAATGATCGATTTACGATATTATTCACATACAATTTTGAATATTACAACAAGAATTAATCTCTTTGCTTGATATGAGATCTGCACTATTACCAATCGTAATTTATTTCATGCAATAACATTGTTCTCTTTTTTTTACAAATTGAATAATTACTGAATAAATAATCATGCCGATTACAGATACATAGTATTTAATGACGTCAATGCTTAGAATTAAATTATCAATGATAGCACCTATACTTTTGTCATATAAATAGTTACCTATATATGCACATACATTATATATAATTCTTTTTCGTAACTTAAACATTTTATAAATATTTCGATAAATAATTATCTTCAAGATCAAGCATTTTTTAGTAACAATGAGCAGTAATCGTCCAAATGTTCCAATATACAATCGCGTGTTCAATAATTTTTTTAATAATAAACGGGCGCTTTGAAGAGGGTTGAGCAAATAATTAAAGACTCATGATCGGCGACTTGTACGTTGTTCGAAGGGTATCGCATTTCGCCATACATGGGTAGGCAAATTACAGGTGGGGGATACGTGACCGCGAGGAGAACTCAAGTAATTCTTAAGTAATTCTTCGCGCGCGCGCGCTCGCGGGCTTCAAAACTATTATCCAAACGAAATGTCAGAGGATACGGGATAATTGTCGTTACGCAAGAGACGTGCGATATTTTCGCCTTCGCGCCGAAGAAGACACCTAACCACATTATTACCGCCAATTATTGCCTCATTTTTCCAACAGACAAACTTTGACGCGCGCGCAGCTGCTTATTATTAAGGTGATTTTCGAAGTTACGCCATAATGTGCCAATATATATATAATTAGAGATAACTAATCAATTTTAGTTTGACACGCTATTATTCTTGTGTAGACACATCAGCGTCAGAGATTTATTTATCCGTTCTTTTAAACGTACGATTTAATAAATCTCAACATTTTCAAGTTCGAACAAGTTTGTAATATTCGCTTTTAATTTCAATTATTTTTTAATTATCCATAAGACTCTGTATGAAATAGAGTCCTTATATCCTGCACTTGAAAAATTAATTGAGAAAAGAAATTAAAGACCGTAAAGAAAAAAGGTGTCATATAATATGCATATATTGGGAGATAAATTTTATCTGCACGCGTTTAATAATTGCATCGGAAATGAGTCTACAATTTATCTATGCTGCATTATTTACTATTTTGTTTTACGCAAAAAGCAACGTAAGAGATTCCACTGACCTGTATCCGTGCCTCCGTCAGGCCGATCTTCATGGCGAGCTCCTCCCTAAAAACAAAAAGGAAGGGAATCATTAACACAAGAAAAAGGAACCAAGGCCGCACGTAGCCGCGGGCCTATTTGCGCGTGCGAGTTATCCGATTCTGCTATTGCGATAAACTCGAGTTAACGGAGTGTGAGCTTCGGCGTTCAAGTCAGTTCAGACATTATTATCCAACGAGTCCTGAACAGTGTTAAGCGATAATGATAAAATTAATATTTGCCATTTTTTTATGATTTTCTGATCATTAGTGTAACATATATATGTACACAGTATTATCTCAATATTAATTTTGTCACTGAAGTATTATCTTGTTTTATCATAGTTGATGACTACAGTACCTCGACTTTTAAACTTATTATTCACATTCAACATTAAAAAAAGGTCCCATTATATTAAAATATTATTATTTTATTAGATGGACACTATTAATCTCCTTAGAGATAACAACTTTACATAAAATTATCTTTAAATTGTTTAAATTGCTTTATTGTCGTTATTATTTTAAATTGATAGTTGTTGCTTCGTACTGAATTGTTATTGTGTACGCTCTCAAGAAGTTAAATATAAACTCCAGTATTTTAATGAATGACACTTCCTTCTGTCTCTCTTTTTTTTTCTAACTTACGTAATCAAATGGACATCTAAACGTTTGGGCAGTTAACGGAGTAAGTGCACGTAATTGCAACTGCAATTATTATCTCCCTTGAGTGCGCGATTTATTACTTAGGAACGCGATGTAATTTAACAACAACAACAAAAAATCATTTAGTTGTCTTTTAATAGTGCTGAGGAATAGCGGTTACAATCTGACCTCGTATCACATCCGTGAGAAAATCGCAGAAACCGTTCTACGAAATAGCCAGTCTGCCTCGTAAAAACGCGCGCGTTCATTACCTTAATTAGTTTTGCATCCGAAGCAGATTAGCCGACATAACGACGCACGATGGGTATTAATTGCATTATGTATCTCGCGGCATTATGTTTGATTTTCCGTTGGATTGCTACTTGCACGAGCCGTCGTGACGAGAGCTATTAATATCTATTACAAGACGATCAGAATCCGCGGCGACCGCGCCGCCGCGCCGCGCCGCGCCGTCGTGGCTCCGGCGGTGGAGATAGAATCTCGTTTCATATAGGTGACTACGCTCCCCAACGGCGTATTACGAATACGATTATCCGTGACTAATTGACCGGTCCGGCGCAGCGGTAATGACAAATAATTATTAGCTCGTGATATTTTACATAACGCCGATCATGTCATACGCGGTCATTTCCTTTCCGCTCGATTGAATTTCGCATCCTTCGCTCGCGGGCGCATATAACACGAAGTGTCCGCGTCTCATTTTTCTGCAAACGCACACAGCGCGGCGCGGTGCGGCGCTTGCCTTCGCGCAAAGTCGCCTCCCCTCGCCAGCGTTGTCCAGAAATCCGAGTCGCGCAGATGCCGGAGGCTATACTGATTAAGAGAGACGTATAGAATGTCCCACGTGTCGGAAAATTAATATCTAATATTATTTATAAGTGCAGAACCTGTAATCTAAAATCATGATAATTTAGCTATTTATCGCGAGTGTGCGTGGGTATGCATTAAGGATTACGAAGTGTCGCGCCGTACGTGCCGAGCGTGTACAGAAGTGACGAGGATTTTCTGTTTTTGCCCGAAAGGATGCGCGTGTCGTGTGTATATCGCATAATTATAACATATTCTTTCAGAGCGCAGATTAATAAGAGGGAAGCATTACGACCACGCGTTCGAGGAAACAGGGGGAATTAATAGTCATCGACTTTAATAATTAAATTCCTTTCGGTTGATTTACGTCGGTTAAGCGATTGCTCGCGCAGGATATGTTTCCAGTAAAGATAATAACCCGTATAAATCGCCGCTCGCATGATTTCACCGGAAATTATGCGAACACATTCCTAATTTTTTTTTCTCAACTGGGGAACGAGGCAAACCGGAGGCGCGAAGGAATTATTACGAAGGCAGGCGTGAATCGTGACGGGTGTCGATAATTCACATCCCGCACAACGAGAATTCATTCATTCCGGAAATATTCGCGATTTTCGCCGTTGTTGTTGCGATAAAGGTATCGGGACGGCGGCGATCGTGCGATCGGGTATACTATATCCGGCGGCGGGTATAGGAAAAGAAAGAAGAAAGGGAAGAGTGAATCAGGCAGTGAGACACCCCGCCGGGCGTCTCTCATCTCGCAGGCAAATTGCCCAGATGTTCCACGAAATCGCGAGGAAATCTCGGTGATTATGCCGCGCACAGAAGCTCTCGCGTCCGATCGCCTCGGATCTCGTGTTTAGGTGCATTTCAGACCTTCAGACGGTAGCTTCCAAAATTACAGGGATTTCGGGATGAGTCCGTAGATTGGCCGCGGTCCACGGATTCGTCCGGTTCACTCGTCGCGTCGATTTTATCATCGTTCGCTCGCCCGATCTCGTTGCATCCCGTCCGAGATCCTTTCGTTATTCCGACCGATCTTTCGAGCGAGAAACAAATCTTTCCAAATTGCATTTTAATCCTATATTGATATATCTTATTTTGAAAGCTGTGCCATTTTACAACTAGCGACTAGAAATTAATGTGTAATACATATATATATATATATATATATATATATATATATATAGTAGATTTTACTTTCTTAGAATTTAAATCACCAAATTGAGTTTATCAAAAGTTTATCCGGCGAAGGTGGTCATTAACAAAATAATCGAATGATGTTTATCCATTGATTAATCATTCAAAATAATTTTCATCATGTATCGCGTATCGGCCGGTAATTGCAAAGCGTATTCACGTCGTCAAATCATTTTTGATGGCCCGCGTACCGACTTATTGGAGGAAACGTAACTAGAAGACGCGCGTTCGTATACTGCCACGGTACTCTCTGATTACCCGTTGTCGTGCGCTAATGACTACTCTGGTGAACATAGTTGCAGACGGTAATTCGTACCTGCTACCAGGCGGCTCGGCTTCGTTTTCAATGAAACGCCGAGTATGAAAGCGCGCACCTATCAGCTGCTTCTCACGAAAAACAGGCTTGCGCCGTGAACGATAAAATTACGTGTAGTACCGTGGTTTCTCCCTCTCTCCCTCCCTCCCCCTCCCTCTCTCTTTCTCTGGCCGTTACATACTTCTGACCGCCTGTATGACTCACAAATACGAATGAATCGAGATTAGCAGTCCAACTACTAGATACTTGGCGACGCCAGAAACTTCCTACACGGTTATTTTAGGTGACATAAAATATATTTCACTTTTTCTAGTAAAATATAGGTACCATAAAGAAAATTACTATAACAGAACAGTTGGAGATTTTATATCAGACGCTTTCGTAAACTTCTATTGTGCCTTTGAGGATGAGGAAAGTGGCTTATACCGTTGTTCCGCCTAACGATTCAAATGTTTTATTTATCTCGTAATCTTTGCGTCACTTGTGGCCACTCGAGCGCGATATAATCTTTATAGATATGTGCATTACACGCACGGGTGCGCGAACGAAACACACACTGTCAAAGAGGCGGACGAGGCTCAGGCACCTTGGGGCCTCTGCGAGTAATAATAATTTAGCCTTTCCCTTTTTCCCTCTCTCTCTCTCTCTTTCTCTCTTTCTCGAGAGCGCGTTCGCCGGCGTCCTTCTGGATTTAATAAGATCACGAAATTTCGCGGTTAGACGGGCGTCCCTAATTACACCCGCCGTTCACCGAGACTCTCAGTTACCCTCGATTCGCGTATCATTATTATTACGTGTCCCTCTCCTAACTCCCTCGTCCACGGTGTGTCCTTGCCATGGGAAATGCCGCGAGCTTCGGAAAAGCCGCTTCTGACGGGCACGTACGCAAAAGATTAGTCGCGCATTCGCGACTTAATGGGAAATATGAGACCATGATGAAAACCTCGGTGTGCAAAGATCAGCGAAGTATCCGTTACATGTCCTAGTATTCAGTCTGAAGAAATACCTTTGTGATTAATCCGTAAATTCCCTCCCCGCCGAGGTAAAAGGTATTTGAAATTAGGTGAGGATAATGAGAGATCTTACGTTATACATTTTCAATTTTCATTTTTAAAACTCAGAGCTATTAGTCTCGATATATTTTTAATGTCAGAAGACAAATTGATCTCTCGTTTTCTCAGAATCAAAGAAATAATACAACACGAGAAATAATACAAATTTAAATTATAATCTATTATCTGCAACTATTACCGGTTCGTTATCGACTTTTACTGTTTATACAAAACAGGATACGTGCAAAAGACATTAGGAAGAAAAGAATTAATATATCCCGCATATATTACACACTATGCACACATGATACGTTACATATATGTGACAGAAAACACGTTTATTTCTCATTACGGAACACACCCCGATCGGCAATTAAGGCGGCCGCTACGTTCACACGCGTTGCAAAATAGAACATGACTAATCGCCGATTAATTGCATCAACACGATGATCACAGTTCCTTTTGGCATCCGGCTGTACGATTCCGCGGTGTGTTACGCGGAGTTTCTCGAGCGCGAGAGAGATCGACTTTCACAGATTTGGCGAACAAAATTGCCTCGCGCGAATAATCCGTAACAAAATATATTCTCGGAATCGATTGCCGTCGCTGAAAGGAAGTCCTTCCTGTCCTGCCCTGCGCAACATTGCGAAGTCATAGTAATCGGGTTGCGAGGCGCGAATGGATTTGCCATTTCGCAACCGCACGGTAGTATAAGCGCGAACCCACCGGCCGGCATCAAAAGAGGCCGCTAAGTGGATTAAAGGCAAGTTTCTTCGTCATCTTCTTCATCTAGTTCTCTTTCTCACTCTCTCTTTCTCTCTTTCTTTCTTTCTTTCTTCGTCTACCTTCTCTTCCTTTGCTACTCCCGCCGCGGCATCCTGCCGTTCTTATTTGCTCCTGCCTCGGCGCGAAGTCCTTCGCTGCAACCGCGCTTCGTCAGAAGTCACGGACGAAGGAAGATAATTTACTTAACTTACGTTTAATCGT